GGTGGATGAGTGATGTTTTATTATGGACTGATCTGGCATTAAGTAACAACACCATCAGGCCCGAAGGGCGGTTGATAAGCCTACCCAGAACCTTCCGGCTGGGGGAATAACCGGAAGGAGGAACAGATGTCAACCATCTGTCCCTCCTTCTTCTATGCCAACACATTAAACCCCCAACGCCATAATGCCCATTGCCCTTGACCACCCCAATGGTGGTGCCCACACGCTCCCTAGGCAACTCCATGGTAGCAGCCGGACATGAATCCATTCAAATGGCCTAGTTAAAATCTAAGTTAAAATACAATAAAAACAATAAAACCTTCCGACCACCCAACTACAAACGCCTACCCACCCACACAGAGTCCATGGCCAGCCCAGCCCCCACACGGCCCCGCACATTCTTCTCCTCTCCATTTTAACCTCACAACAACACGAACCCTGTGGGGTAAGTGAGGCTGAGAGGCAGTGACTGGCCCAAATTCATGCAGTTTCATGGCTGAGTAAGGACTAGAACCCAGATCTCTTGAGCCCCAGTCAAGCATTCTTAACCCCTACGCCACAATGGCTTTCCCTTTGCCTTTACCTATTCTACCAAGATGGCTGTGCATCCCTCAGTAGGGACAATGCTAAAGACTCTCCTAAACCTGAATAAAAGAGTTCCTGAATGATTTAGAGTATATAAGAGTTATTGTCGTCATCCTATTACATTTTTATTGTACAAAGCATGCCATTATCCCTGTCATCACAACTTGCCTATGTTAGACAGAGAGTCAGGAACACAGGTGGCTTCCCTGTGCTGGGTCACACCAAGGATCTGCCTAGTTCAGTACTGTCTCCCCTGACTGGCAGTGGTTTTCCATGTGTGCAGGCAGGGGTCTGTCTGAGCCCCACTGGGGATGCTGTAGATTGAACCAGGGACCTTGGCATACCATACACATACTCTGCCTGCATCCTTCCCATAACAGGAGCCCTTCAAGCTGGCTTGCCAAAGCCACATAGAGCCTTTCCAGATGATGAAATTTGGATAAGGAGATCATGCTTCTTAGAGTTGACCCCATCCAGTGCCAGTGACCATACATTCTTATCTACACATTAAGGAAGCAAGGATGAACAGCCCTTGATGGAGGAATCTAGCCTAGTTATTTATTTATGTATTTATTATAATCTCTTTTTTTGTTAAAAGCAACAGCAAAGTGTTTGCCCAGTACTAAGTGTGGCAATGCACTAACTTTAAAGGAGTAGGAAGGGTAATTAAATGGTAGAACATTTAAAAATCACAAAATAGTGCAACAATAGTCACTTGTTGGAAGCCCTGTCACAGACACTTGCTGAACCAAACACAGCTACCAGGGATCATAGAATCATATAGTCGGAAGGGGCCTAGCAGGCCATCGGGTCCAACTATCTGCTCAATCCAGCACTCAAGTCTCCCATCCAGATTTCAAACAGGTCCGATGCTGCTTAGCTTCCAAGATAAGGCAGGATCAGGCACAGATGTGGGTGGCTCAACAAGGGCTCAATATACCTCTTCCTCTGTCACCTGTCCAGGATTGTGAAACAGTTGCAAGCACCAAGCAAGAGCACTGGCTCAGCCAGAACTCACATGTTAGCTGCAGCTGAAGGGGCGACTCAGTTTGGCACCTCAGCTTCAGTAAATGAATTTGCAGAAGAGAAAATGTATACTGGATCTCTGAAATGAATGAAACTTTCATTCTCAAGTGAAAATTAGAACATCTTGTTGAACTTATTGTAATGTGCTGCCTTTCAAAACTGTTCTGGAGCAGCACGCTATTGTGTGAATGGGACCAGTTGCCCATTTCGAAGCAGGTCTGTTTCTAAGCACAATTCAGTGTGCTAGTTTTAACTTACAAAACTGTAAATAGCTCAAGTCCAAGGGACCTAAAAGAATGCCTGTTCCCACATGACTCTGTCTGGTCACTAAGAATAGTTTTACTCTGCCAACTGAATTAAGGGATAACTGGAGACTGGGCCTTTTCATTTGTAGTACCTACCTATGGAATAAACTTCCCAGAAGGGCTTCTTTGCCCTGCTCATTTTATCTTGGTTTTTAACTATCTGCTGTGTTGAAAACCATTATTGGTCACTTGACTGTACTTTTACATTTTCTTCTCATGCTGTTTTCTTTGAAAGCATGGCTTAAGAGTGGCTATCAGCTAATAAATAATCAATAAATAGGCAAACACCCTAAGAGAATGTTTCCTAACTTCTCTCACATCTACATCCAGCACCCCATCCAGTCTATGGCAGTGATGGGGGTATCTCTAGAACAAATAATTAAATCGTGATGATAGCCAAACTAATTTACACTGTTTTAGGGTGCAACTGGATTGTCCTTATAGCCAATGAACAATATCTCACAAAAGTACCTAAGATAAACATCTTAAAGAACACAAAAAACAGGGCTAATATATACAGAATGTGCCAACAATCATTCATACTGTCCCTAGCATTGGTGACAACCAATACAAGTTGCACCCACGGCCTCTAGAGAAATGTAACTGGCTAGACTCCTCTGACCTCAGAAGCTGACTCTGCAATTTGTTCTGAATTTTAAATTACGCTCTCACACATACTTCCTTATGGTGGTACAGAACAGTAAGCAATAATGCTAATAGCTGTTATAATTTGGGTCTCGTGCACTCTTGGGGCTCTTAGTCATTCATTTGTAAGAGCAAAACAATACAGTTAACATACAGATAGAGCTAATTGTCCTCCATCAGCAGACTAGAAATCACATAATCCCAGTCTGCGCTGTTCATATAATTGACTTTCCTGAAGACCATTCAAGACAAAGAAAGACGTCCACTGAAAGTAAATGCATATGGATAACCAGCATAGGGATACCGGATGATTTCAGCATCATTCCTTGAACTGCATTATTTTCCCAACTCAGGTGCTTGCAACTGGTGCAACCTCTGAGGGAATGCGACTGCTGCTACTCTATGTCCCCTGTGTACATAAATGCATGAAAAGCATCCCAGAAAGAGAACCTTATGAGCCCCATCATACGTATAAAAAATCGCTGGGATGGGCTCTCCATCCTACTTCCCAAAAGTCCCAATCCCACAGGACATGAGTTCTATGACAGTACATATCTAGTTGCCTAGCAACACACAGCCCACGACCAAAATTCATGTTACATTACATGTGTAATCACATTTTACATGTCTGGGCTTTTATTTTTTGCAGGTGAATCAGCACTGTGACTGTGGTGTGCAAGGAGGGATTTGATCATTTCCTCTCCTGGCACAGTCCTAATTAAACTCTCCCCCACCCCATCCTGCTGCCATAAGCCTTGAGATGGAAGATGCTATTAGCAGGCCTTTTTGGAAGAAAGATGCTTTTCATTGCAACGGCAGCTTGTCTCCCAACCACCCACTTGAAAAATTGCTTTGGGTTTCACCAAAACACTAAATAATCCCTTTTGTTCTACAAATCACAGCACATATATAACTCATGCTTTAATAACATCGTTTCCTCTTTTACCACAGGGATTCTACTCAAAACTAGCACAGTATTACAAACATCACAGTCCTGAGGCTGGGCCACTGAAATAGGCCTCTTCAACAGGCAACGTTTGGGGGGAAATTAGTAGATAGTATCAGCATTGCATTATGAAAATCATGAACCATAGGCTAACACTTGATTTGCCGGAACAATGACCTTGGCCTGGTCAAAATAGCCTTGATTTCCATCATGTGGGAATCAAATAAAGAGAAACAGATATCAAATAAAGAGAAATACAGATTTCATCAACTGTTGTGCCGCCTTTCTGCAGGCCACCTGAATGAAGCTGGTGGACTACAGTGTGAGAACTTCTACCACAGCAGTAAGCTTTGACTCCAATTCTCTCCCCTGCACTCTTCAGTTCTGCACATACTTCTGTCAAGGGTGGGTTGAGAGGCCAAAGGGGACAGAAAGTGAGCTCCCTCTTGGCCCAGTGCCTTTGCAACATCATTTGTTGAGCTGATCAACAACCGGATGCATTTGGATGTGCAAATACACATTTATGTTCAGATCCTTATTTCAATGCATATCCAGCTTGATATGCCTGATCCAAATACACAAATTCCAACATGGAAACCTGTTTCTGCATGCTGATCTCCTTAGTCTGGAGTGAAGAAGCATGGGGGTAGAATGAAGAGGTAATTAAAAAAGCAAAGCAAGTATTTTCCACTTGTTCCCCTCCAGTAATTTTTTAGTGATTTACTTTTTAATATTGTTTTTATCTAGTTTTGTTTATCTGATGCAACTTTTTTTTACTGTTGTATTGCCATCCGGAGACCTCTGAACAGGATGGGGTAAAAATACCTTAAATAAAATAAATAAATAAATAAATAAAGCAGCATTTTATATATTTTGAATAAAACATGATTTCAAATACTGTTTTTTGTATTTTTCTGGATTATTGTTTGTTTGATATATTCCATCCAACCATTTTTATAATGAAGGAGGAGAGCAAGAGCAAAATATGATAGCGTTGTGGGTGTTGTTTGTTATTCCTGTGCCTACTATGGATATTAAGAATTACAGAAGCCAAAGGAAAATGTCAACTGGAGCATATGAAAGCAAAGCAACAAACTGCAACACTGAGTGAGGCACATTAAACCTAATTAAACAAAAAGCATGGAGACACCACAGTGAGTACATGAATTATATAGTAGCCACTTCAAATGGAGACATAATTTTAGAGTGCTTTAAATGTATGGTTGTAATAACCAAACCCAGAAAGTCTTCTATACCATTAAATATTACCATTTTCAATACATTGTATTATTTCTGCCTCTGCAGTTTCTGGACTTTTTAGATGAGCTGCCATCACAACAAATGCATGCAATGCATATATGCATAATATTACATTCCTATACAAATGTATAGGTTTGTATATACATAAAGACGGGTAGGTATGAATCGATATGCTAGTTATTCAAGTGGGCAGGGATTCTTACAGCTCAAGGTTCTTTTTCCTTAGTACTCACCCTAAAGGGCTGGTCTGGAATAAATGGGAAGTAAGGAAGAGATGACTGTTCTTCTCCCCATTCGCCAGATATGCAAGAATTCCTGAGGAACTGCCTGTCTGGGAATATGGCTTTCAGTTCAATAGCTACGTCAGCAGGAGGATCCTCTGAATCTCCACACGTAAGACTGATGTCAAAACTGTAATGGGAACAGGATACTTCTCATTCATTCAGAAGAAGCCATCGAATCCAAGACATGCATGCTTGGCTTCTAAGCCTATACTCTATTGGCTCTATACAACCCAATACATCTGAATGAGCACTGCCAAGAGCTAGCCGAGCAATTGCCCGTGTGGGCAGACTCACTTCCATGTTTGCCACTCTAATTTGTGCCTTTCTCACTGCCACTTCTCACATTATCTGTTTCCCCACCAGCATGGAGATATTCTCCACTTAGCACATGCATCATGTGTAAAGCAAGCCTTACTGTGCCCAGGAAAAATGTTGGGAAACAAGCATCTTCTCTTGTAAAAATATGCCTTCTCTGTGGGTCAGAGGAGAAACCAGCATTCTATATTTACAACTACAGATAAAAATAGCTGTCTTCAGAGTTGATGGATGTTCAGCAGGCACATTCTTTTTGTGGGAACCAGCTTTTCTTTGCAGTTCTTTGGCCAAAAAGGAAGACACAGACAGGAACAGAGCAGGCTGCCAGGAGGAGGCAAAGCCCTCCCTCAGCCTTATTACCTCTCCGGGTTGAGATCGACGATGCCCATGACCAAGACCTTCTTGCCTGGCCTCATTCCTCCTTTGATGTGCCCACAGAATGGGACAATCTGGAAAAGGATTGCAGGGATTCAGAATGAATTGCCTTTCTACAATGGGCAGACAGGGCCAGATGAGGCCCATTATAACAAGGCAGGGAAGGGAACCAAAAGCCTTTACCAGTCTTGGAAAATATACTTCCGCTTGCACCGGGGATCCCAAGGAGTTGTTTAAATGTCCGTCCTCTATTTTCTGAGGACAAAAACAAACACAAGCTCAGACAGAGAAGGCACCCTTTGTGTTGAGCCCAAGACCCATGCAGGGGGGCAGAAAAAGGGAGGGCCATGGAGCAGCAGAGCACCAATTTCAAGTCTCCAAGAGAGAATCCATATTTTTCTTCCAGCCCCTTCCTTTTGCAAAAACAAAGGGTGTTGCCTCGTAATCCCTTAGCCAAGTATTCCAGGTAGAGCCTGAGACAGAGTAGATTTTCATTCATATCCCCCCTTCGCGCCGCCGCACCATTCTCTCTCTCTCTCTCTCTCTCTCTCTCTCTCTCTCTCTCTCTCTCTCTCTCTCTCTCTCTCTCTCTCTCTCACACACACACACACACACACACACACACGCGCGCGCGCGCGCAAAATCATCTAGCTGCAGCAGTCGTACCCTCCACAGGCTCACATAGACACATCTCCCCTCCCCCCACATGACACCTGAAGACTGGAAGGGGGAAGAATAACAAAGTGCACACAAGGAGCGGAGCTCGCTGCAGCACCCGCCAAGATCTCTTCCCCTGCCGGCCTGTCCTTTCGGCCACCCCATGCGAGGGCTCCCCAGGAGCATTTCTGCAGTTTCTGAGCGCTGGTTTCGACCACCGCCGCTGCAAACAGGTATTCCGATCTCAAGATTCAGCTCCCGAACTCTCTTCTTCCACGCGGATCCATCGCTAGAGGGGACCTCGGCGTGAGCCCCACAAGCCAATCTGAAAAGCCCGCCTCCTCGCCCCTCCACCCACCTCGCGCCCTCTGCCAAGTATTTAGGAAATGGGCCACTTACCACCGCGTCCCTCTCTGCCACCGATCCCGCCATCTTGTTGAAACGGTGCTGCTGCTGCTGCTACTGCTAAGCGTTGATCTGCTGGAGGAGGCAGCGCGGGAGCTGCTGGAGGGCAGAGCCCGGCTTAGACGTGCCTGCCGAGCGCTGGGCAAGGCGCAGCCGGAGCTGACCTGGCAGCGGATGGGAGGGAGCGAGGGAGGGACGCAGCGAGGGAGGGAGCTGGTCGTGGCCGTCCCGAGCCCTGGAGCCAGGAGCAGTTCCTTACAAATCCCCGGTGGCTTGCATGCAAAGCGCGGAGCTGGCGAGGCAGCCGCAAGGAGGAGAGCGGCGAGGCAAGCCGAGTCTCTGCTGCGGCCGTGCCTCTCTGCCAGGCAGGCAGCATATAAAGCCCTGCCCCCCGGCCTCCAAGAAGCCTAGCGCAGGGCATGGGACCAGGAGGAGCCGCGTGGGGTGGGGATTCGCTGGGGCTGTGGCAGCTCGCGCTTCGCCCCCGAGCTGTTTTGACGCAGGAAGACAGGCAGGCAGGCAGGGGGAGAGGCGAGGCGGGAGGAGAGACTCCGCCGCCCAGCGGGGGACAGCGCAGCCGCCCCGGGAGGGCCAGGCGCGATTCGGAAGGGGCGCCGCTTGGGTGGGCAGCGCAGCGGGCGGCGCAAGTTGGGGCTCCCCCGGCGCAGAGGGGCGGGGCGCTGTTAGTGCGCTGGGGTCCTGGGCTACCAGAGTGCCGCTTTTACGGACTTTAAAATGCAAAGTTTCTCCTCGGTTCTCCATCCCTACTGCTGACCGCGTTTGCTCCTTTGAATTATACGTGGGTAGCGCTCAGCCATCCGAAATACAATGCAGTTCTGAGAGAGAACAAAAACAACACTGCGTTGAATATTTTCTGACACCTGTTGTTACTGACTGCTTCATAGGCACATTTTACATAAAACTGCCCAGGCTTTCCCCAAAATTATCATAACAGAGGCAGCTCCCACTATGTGTGGTATGTTTGTACTTGCACACAATTTAAAGAAGTGATCCTGTTTTCCGCTTTTCCCAACCTTTCAAAGATGCTCCGGGTTATTAGGCTTCAGTCTTGAATTCAGGCGGAACTTCCCTGGCTATTGAAATCCTCTCTTACCCGAGGCTGCATTTGAAAAAAATGTTGGGAAACCGCAGCTGGAATAGGGTGATGCTGACAAGGCCTGCTATGCAAACCTGTTATACTAATATTTTGATCTACACTGACTCCCAATTCATTCTGAACCAGTTCAAAGTACTGGTTAACATCATCATCATCATCATCATCATCCTATTTTATTTATATCCAGCCTTGTTTTTCCTTCCAAGTAATTCAAGGCAGCTTCCATAATTCTCCTCCTCCTCTCAATCTTATCCTCACAGCAACCCTGTGAGGTAGGTTGGGCTGAGAATCTGTGACTGACCCAAAGTCACCCAGTTGTCTCTAAGGCAGAGTGGGGACCCGAACCCAGATTGTCTGGGTCCCAGTCCCATACTTTTAACCACTGCACCACACTAGCTCTATAGCTTGGGCCAGGATGTTTAAAGGAACACCTGCTGGTATAAGGTCTGGAGCGTGGGCAGCAGGCAGCTATGACAGGAATGCTGGGACCAGGGCACAGGTGCATGGTGGAGTCCTGCAGCAGATTCAGAGGGCCAGAAGCAAGAGGCACATTCGTGTAACAGTCCAGAGTCAAAGCCAGGGAGATGAAAGATTCAAGCAATACAGTCCAAAGATTTCATGGTCCAAAGACACAGTCCAAGGGTCAAATCCCGGAATAATGTCTTGGAGCAAGCAAGGTCAGGGAAGACGGGTCAGGCTGGAGACAAGGACTGAGGCAGGAACAGACTGGAGCAAGGCAGGTAGGCTGGGCAGGAGGCAAGGCAAGGCTGGAGCCACCAGAACAGCAGGGGTTGCTGTGGCCAAGAGCAGCAGTTGCAGGCAGCCATCTTATGCTGGTCTCCAGGCTCTGGAGCTGCACTGCGTAATTGCCCCTCAGCTGTTCCCTGTAAGCACCTGCAAAGGTGTTCCTGGTTCCGCAGGCACTTGCAAGGACACTCAGGCCCTGACACTGTCAACTGGGATCCTTGGGGGAGGTCTTGTTCCAAATATCAGTCAGGGTGGGCAGCAAGTACACGCAGGGCTGGACTTCTGCCTAGGGTCCACTTCCCAGCAGGGCTTCACTGAGGAGCTTCTGGAGATGTTCCTCCTCTTCGTTGCCACCTGCTTATTCACCTTGCTGTCACTCTGGCCCAGGCAACAAAGATGGTGAGAAAGAGAAACAGTCAATGGTAAATAGCCTTCTTAGAGGGCCGGCTCTGTCATTAGGCAGAGAGGGGCAGCTGCCTTGGGCCACAGATGCCAGGGGCAGCAAAAAGGTGTTGGAGAACAGGGCTGTGTGTGCTATATGGCTTGCCTGCTGCCATCATGTGAGTGGAAAATGCTCTTTCTTTGCCAGTGACAAAGATTCAACTGCTAATCTGGCTGGATTCTATATATAGAAATGGGGAAACCCTTCATCTCGTGCAGCAAAATATCTTGGCCTGGCCTGGCCTGGCCTGGCCCATATATATGCTGAGAGAGGGAGTGTTTTGCCTAAGACTCCCTGAAGAGTATGTGGCTAAAATGATTGACTTAGTTTGTACTTTTAGCCACTAAAAGTAAGCATGTGATGAACAGTGTACCTGAAATAGTGCTAGTTGACACAACTATAGTACACCTATTAAAAAGCTAGTCACAGCTATGTAGGTTAAAAAAAATGGCAACCTGCCAACACAACCTTACAAAGGTTATCTAAAATGTCTTTTGCATTCCTGGTAAATCCTTTTTATCCTTTGTTATCATACAGAGATCCAGCTATACTTCACGGCTATATTCTCCCCACTGCAGAAGCTGAAGCACAGCTTCCAATTATTAAGCAATTATTGCTACTGTCCAATTTCCCTACCAAAGGACTGGCGTTGGCAAGATGAAGTGGGTCACAGGCTTCCACCCCATCTGGTCCCTCGGGTTTCACAGCATGCTACTTGTCCCCTTCCCTGGATTTGCTACTGAAAAAAAAAGATAGATTTGCCTTTGCTGGAAAGGAGGCCCCTATTCCTGTATTAGGCCAAGCCATGTTTTTTGTTCAATGTACTAACACAGTGGTAAGGGGGCAGACAGAAGAAAAGAGCAGTGTGGAAGAAGTCCCATTTCTCTGTTTTGGTTCTATAGCTGAATTGTCATCATGACCACTTCTGCTGTCTGAGCAACAAGGAGCAAAGCTGGGTCAAGAAGCACTCCCAGACCACAGCCCTTGTCTTAAAGGAGAGAGCAACCCTATCCGTAACAGTCTGTACAAGTAATCCCAGATTAGCTTTCCTACGGACAAACACCTCTGTCTTGTCTGGATTAAATGTCAGTTTATTTTCCCACATCCAGTCTGTTGCTGTGCTCAGTCACTTCAATAAAAAGGAAAGAGAGAATTCGGTGCCACTAGTCACAGTTTTGCATAGATGTTGAATAGCACGTATCCTGCATGCCTGTGACCAACAGGTCAAGCATTACTGCAGACTGAGGCAAAGGACAAAATAGTGCCTCCATTCCATGTGAAGAAGATGGCCAGAATTGGAGCTGCGTCTTGCTTCAACCCTGCCTAACTTTTTCCACTGCACCTCAAGTTGGGAGGCTGCATTAAGAACTGGGGTAGCAATATCTTCCACCATCTTCCTGTCCTGTGCCAACTCCTGCCTGAGACAGTCACCTCACTCTGCCTAATAGTAGGGCTGGCCCTGAGCCCACCCATGCCCGTGATCATCTGGGATCTGTCTTCCAGGACACCATGGTTGGTAAAGAGGGTTGCTGTGGATCTTCAGAACCAACAGGAATAGCCCTCCCTCCCCCAGTTTCTAGCATAAGCTCATTCACTAGAGCACCTAAGGTTACGTCCAGTTAATGGCCTCCTAATACTTCGGATCAAAAGGCATCACACAGTTATTCTGTATTTCTCCCCATAACTGTTTTTTCTAATAAGAAAAAAAATGAAGTGGTGGAAAAACACAGGAAGTCAGAAAGTCAGCTGGACCTCATGTTAAATTCCCATGAATGAGGTGGGGCAATTACACAATCAAATCCTCATCTGTAAGCATCCCAAGGTTGTTCTGGTTCCAAAGCTGAACCAGAACCCATATTCAAAAAGACAAAGCTAAACTAAAAGCTTCATTCGAGAACGCTTGGAGTTGGGCTGCTGCAACCTGCTTCCTTATTTTTCTATGCTTAAGTCTAGTTCAGTCTGATTTTCCCATCAGCTTGATTTTTTTAAAGCTTTGCTTGCAAATTCATACACCTTTTTAACCTTATTTATGCTACTATATGTATATTTGTGTTCAGGTTCCTCTGATATATGCATTCTAAAGCACATTCGTCATCTGAGACTTCCATTACAAAATTTGCAATGTGCAGACATCAAAGAATAGTTGGATTCAAATTCAAGAATAGGGTTGATAGTACAAAGTTAGGTATGTCCACATTAAAATACAAAACAAACCAGTATTTATCTCCTTCGTCTTTAGGAAGATTGTGTGTTCTTATGATTCTCATCTTACAATGTATCCCTCTAACTGATATTGAGAGAATTCCATATGACAGTCTACAGATCGGGCTGCACAGGTGGTTTCAGATAGGCTTTGCCTGCAATACTTTGAAAGATGCTCCTCTGCCTTTAGGAGAGACACAACAGGGAATTTCAACAGTTGTCTCCTCACTGCAGCCCAGCTGATCACATCTTTTCTGGGCAGGTGTTAATGACAGAGGAGACTTTTTTGTGTCAACAAAAAGCACACGCAGACATGTAGTAATCCGGTCCTGTATTTTACTCTAGTTTTCAGCTAAAGAAATAAATCAAAGTCATATTAATGCCATGAAAAATATATCCTGCTGCTAAGTCCTTGGTAGGAGGAAACCGGCCTTGCAAAGCAGAAAATGTATGACATATTTGGACATATTTCCAAATATGTCAAATGGATGTTGGAAATGTAAACACAAACTGGCTACTTTTTATCATATGTGGTGGACCTGTGATAAGGTGAAAAAATATTGGATTAAAATACATAAATGGCTTGAGGAAATGTTACAAAAATCTTTGGCATTTAAACCTGAAGTTTTCTTATTAGGTATTATACCTGATGATGTTAGCAAACAAGCAATGTATTTGACTCTACATGTAATTACTGCGGTGAGGATTGCATTTGCCCAACACTAGAAGAGTGAAGAGCCACCTACCACCGAACTGATCCTAAAAAAGATCCTGGACTGTGCAGAAATGGACAGGCTGACTTTGTCGTTGAAGGATAAAGAAGATACAGACTTCTATCAAACTTGGGACTCTTTTTATCATTGG